TGAGAAAGGCATGTTGATTTTGGATACAAATGCAAGTAACACCAGTGTTGAAGCTGTCCTTTCACAAATCCAAAATTCACAAGAACATATCGTGGAGCACTACAGCAGAACCTTATCAAAGCCGGAAAAAAATTATTGTGTCACCAGAAGAGAGTGGCTTGCCATAGTGAAAGCAGTCGACCATTTTCATAAGTATCTCTACGCACGCAAGTTTCTAATTCGAACAGATCACGCAGCTCTAAAATGGCTTTTAGAAATGAAAACTCCCGAAGAACAGCTTGCTAAGTGGATTGAGAAATTGCAGCAATACGATTTCCAAATTAAACATCGACCTGGAAACCTGCATAAAAATGCTGACGCTCTGTCTAAACGGCCATGTAAAGAAGATGGCAAGCATCGTCAAAGAATCGATATACATGAGAAAAACACTAGTCCAGCTGTAAGAAGAACGGGCTTGATCGTCGATGACATAATGGATTGCCAAACAAATGTGATCCTCTGTTGAGGACTTTCGAAGGACCACCCTTTATTATAGGTCAAAGGGAACCCAAACACATTAACGAGAATTAATACTTTCAATTGATTAACCATTTATTGCGGTACAAAACGAATTTTTAATTGATTATTAGTCAAACTACAATAACGTGATGTCGTGACATGCTCTCGAATTCGTCTCTTCTTATTGGTCGCGCCGAGCGATCCCATTGGTCGCGCTGAGCGATCCTATTGGTCGCTTGCCGTTCTTCCTGCAGCTGTTCTTGCGCGTTGCCAGATCCTTTTGAGTTGCTAGGTTTATTACGGCGTTGCCATGTTTAAGAATGTTGCTACACTTTTGTTCAATATAACAGTCTGATATAAGAAATTTGATTTGAATGTTCAAATAGATTTGAATGTCCAAACAAAATGAGAGAAGATCAGGACGCTGACCAGGACATCGGGCAAATTCTACATCTTAAAGAAAATGATGAATGTAGGCCAGAATGGAGGGAAATTTCGAACAAGAGCTTGATTTACAAGGCGTTGTGGGTCCAGTGGAACTCTCTGGCCGTAGAAAATAGTTTGCTTAAAAGAGTTTGGGAAAGTGCCGATGGAAAATCCACTAAGAGCCAACTGGTTATCCCAAAAGACCGAGTGGAAGATGTATTAAAAGAAATACACGACGGAACTTCAGGGGCATATTTCGGAGTTAACAAGACTTTGAAAAAAAATTCGGGAACGTTTTTACTGGGTACACTACTATGAAGACGTTAAAAGCTGGTGCCGAAAATGTGACATGTGCTACCAGTGAAGGCCCTAAACTAAGATCTCGGGGGCCTATGAAACAGTACAACGTCGGTCTTCCATTTGAAAGAATAGCGATAGATGTAGCCGGACCGTTCCCAGAGTCAGAGCGTGGTAACAAATACATCTTAGTTATCATGGATTACTTCAGTAAATGACCAGAAGTTTTCGTTTTCGTTTTTAGTCGTCATGGTGTGCCACTCGAGTTACATTCAGATCAAGGACGAAATTTCGAATCTGCCATCTTCAAGAAAATTTGTGAGATCAAAGGAATTCGTAAGACAAGGACAACACCTTCATATCCACAGTCTGATGGCATGGTAGAACGATTTATTAAGACCATAGAGGAACACCTGACAAAAGTGGTCGCAAAGAACCAGCGTGATTGGGACAAACACTTCCCTCTATTTTTAATGGCTTACAGAGTAGCTCTTCACGAGTCAACAGGTGAAAGTACAGCCAGAATAGTTTTTGGAAGAGAACTCAGGTTACCTTGCGATCTGATGTTTGGGATACCTGAAGAAGAACGAAAAGAAATCCGAGATTATGCCGACGAAGTAAGGGCACGACTTCTGGGTATCCATGATTTTGCTCGGGAGCATATTCAGCTGACCAGTCACCGAATGAAGACTAGATACGACTTGAAAGCCAATTCAGCCGGATTTTAAGAAGGCGATTTGGTGTCGCTGTATAACTCAACAAGAAAGAAAGGGGTGTCGCCGAAATTATCTTCAGCATGGGAAGTCGACCCTACAGAATAATCAAGAGGATTAATGATTTGGTTTATCGAGTTCAGCGCAACACCAGGGGTAAGATGAAAGTTGTACATCTGGACAGGTTGACGAAATATCATGGGCCTGAAGTTGATCGGGACGATCAACCTTAAGAGGAAGGCAGTGTAACGAGCCTCCCATGTGTAGCGGATTCTAGATTTTACGCCGATGTTCAAGAACAAGGTTGAACGCGGTTCCTTCGGAATTTACATGAATAAATAACGGCGATATATAAGGACGAGTTTTAGCTTGTAATAAGTTTAAGTTTGATTGTGATGGTGATTATTGTTGAGAGTTGTAAAGAGTTCAATTGTTGAGTTAGTTATGAAAGTAATTAGTGTCAGTGTGTATAGTTACGTGGAATAAATTATTGCTGTGTTAATTGGACTTTGATTTTGGAATAAACGAACAACGAACCCAAGATTTCGGTCACGCAAGCCAAAGCCGTGACAGTATGAAACGGGACTGAATAACTGTCCGAACATGATGATAACATCTAAGCGTGGCTAGATCAATCGTTAGTTAAGTTTTTGTTAGTTAAAGGGGGTGTGCGCCAAGAATTAAAGTTTTAGTGTAAAAAAATCTAAGAATAACTGTTCAAACCTCGTTATTCTACGAGATATGCCGCTTTAAAGTGTGTGTGACGTCACGAGAGCTTCGTTCAGCCGCGCTCCTCATTGTTAATTTGATTGTTCCCGGCACGCGTGAGTGGTTTTTGTTTAGATTATTGCAGGTGACACAGGAAAAACATATGTACATTCAATTTACTTCACTTTCTCGTGCGTCGCTTGAGCTTTCGTGACGTCATAGGGTGAGATTCGGTACCTTCATAGAGACATATCTTCAGTATTATTTGTCATAGAGGGTTGCGGTTTTCACTGTTATTCTTAGATTTTTTTTCTCTTTTTTTAGAGATGAAGTTGTTTTTTTTGGCGCACACCCCCATTAACAAAAACCTTAGATTGTGTCAATGTCAATATGATATTGTTTTTGTGTGGAACAATCTGAGCTCACTGTTTGCTAACAAGGACTTAACTAACGATTGATCTCGCCGCCCTAATAGGAATAATAAGATTGATAGGAATTTCTAATAAAAATTTTAAATGGAAGATAAAATATACAACAAGAAAACCTTGTTTTTTTTTTATAGAAATCAAGATAAGATATGCAAAACCTTTAAAAGAGGAAAATTTCTTTTTAGTTGCATTATCACAAAAATTTATCAAAATTCAAAAAATCTACTGTGTGCTATTTTCATGCAAAAAATGAACAAAGAAAAAAAAAACGACTTTTTGATGAGCGTTTTCGACAAAATATGTCGAAAACGCTCTCTAAACATATTATGTTTAGGGACCAAACAATGTTTGATTTGATATCCCGTACCACCCCTGATTAAACCCTGTATTATGAAACACCTTGTATATCTCTTTCAGGGGCAGGATATTTAGGCAAAAAAAAGTCCTAGAGGGGCACCCACTCAAAAACCGTTTATTTGTAGTTTCTGGTATACAATGAATAAAATACGAGTCCTAAAAATATAAAAACTCAAAAAAACATCAAAAAATTCCAAATTTTTGTAAAAAAATATGTGGTACAATTTTTGTACCACTGCGCACAAACCAAAAAGAACGAAATGTTTTTAATTATTTGGTAGGTGGTAATTTTGAAGACATGTTTTGTTTTTTCCGAGGCAAAGAAGTACATCGCATATGGAACATACCCTGTCGGTCCTAATTTGTTTTTATGAGGTGTTAAAAAGCGCATAGCGACGCCTGGGTCCTTTTTCTCGAAAAAGGGGAGCAGCGTTCTCCTGATGAGAGCGAAGGTTCTGTCTCCGTCGCCCATATTCATATTCTCATAGCACTGACAAAGACAGAGCAATCGTTCTCATGGGAAAGCTGCTCCCCAGTTTCGAGAATAGACATCCATGTGTTCCTTTTTGGTTGATGTCCACTTTCACTTGTGCGTATGTCTGGAGAAACAAATGATTTTTTTTATTGCGATAGTTAGTATTTTTTGGTCGTCAATAAAATCAGCTGGTTTCTGGGGACACGAAAGCCTTGACCAATCACGACTTTGAGGAGAGGTGACGATGGCTCCAATTTGGACCTTAAAACTGGAAGAGGTAGATCATCTTCTGAGTCGCTGTATGGTTCGGGTTCCATTAGAATCATGTCATTCTCAGTTTCGTCTGCTTCATCCTCGGAGTTATCAACGATTAATTCTGGATCAGATGGAATACCTACATCTTCAAATTCCTCTTTTGGCTCTCTGTATGTCATTCCGCGTAATTTAAATAGTAGGTCTTCCATCTTACCTGAAGATATTTATTTTTTTTAGTATGGAAACTGATTCAATATTTTTTGTGTTATGGGGCGGTGGTACAATTACCATAACCACGACATATACAAAAAACCTGGACACAAAAAATAAAAATCAACACTTTTACGAAGATAATAATGTCAAGTATACCTCTGCCAGTACATCTAAGCTATCAATGTTAATAAATAATAAATTTGTGCTTACCTTTGCGACTTACTTCTTTGTACACAATAAAAAACCGTTAAAATTGTATTTGCCGCGTGAATTTATAACCTCAAATGCGTGTTAGCTTGTTTATACCCGGGTAACTATACTAAATTCACGTTAGAGATGCGCGTGGGAATGCTTGGGCGTTGTTGGTCGACAATTTATACCACCGCACAATAAGTTACTTGCATTTGAATAAGTGGTACCACCGCTCAACTAGAATCATATTTGTTTGGGTATAATTTATGTACCACTGTTCCTGAAAGAGATATACCTACACAAGTCAATTTCTGCTCGTTAAAACTTTCCTTGTCTTACAATAGGAGGGAAAATCCCTATATTTTTTAAATGTAAATTGGTTATTTTCAGCAAGTTGGAAAAAAAATCTAATATGTAATAACAATATTAATTTATTACCGTTTGTGCATCTATTTCCACACATCCAACTTTGTTTCTTTGACATTCCTTTTCAGTCGTACATTTTTTATTAACCAATACGCTGGTACCTTTGGAGTCCATTATGTGTAGAGTATGACAAAAAGTTTCACCTAGATAAAGAAAAAAAATTTAAAAATAAAAAGTACATTTTATTAATGCAGTTATCAGCCCATATGTGTTAAAAAGTCACTAGTGAGTGACAACCATATTGATAGGAATAAAAAGTATAAAAGGATTCTTACCAGGTTTACAGGGCCGATCAATAGCGAACTGATTACAAATCAAATTATCAGAAACGTTTACGCAAATGTAGCACGTAACGGCGTACTGATCGAAGTCCGATGATGGGTTTTCGACTAAATTGGATCCGATATTTTGCTCTTCCAGGCCGGTGTTCGTGATAAAAATGCAACTCAGAAGCATTCCGAGAGTGAACATTACAGTCTGAAACAAAATAGCATATTATATATTAACTATAAATAGAAACATTTTTTTGGAATCGCGTGTAGCTGCAGCTTTTTAATTTTCCTATTTTTCTATTGTCCTGAGTCGGTAATTAAGTATATTGTCCCATCATAAACTTTATTTACATCAATAATACTAAAGAAGTCGTAGGAAGAAAATCTAAATTGCCAACATAAGATAGCTTATTTTTGGATCTTGTCCAAATTCCATACACCATATTGAAAGTCCATATAATACTTTTAGCCCTTTAGGGATTAGGATGGGCTGTATCCACACTGTGTCGGAGTCGGCAGAAAATGTAATATTTTTTAAGACTCTTAGGAGAAATCCTTTGGTATCTTTTAAATTAAATTCTTGTCTTTTTTTTTGCTCTTTTCAGGCGGGGTTTCACGGTTATATCGTATCAATTTGTGACTGCTTAGCACTTAAATTACCGGGTTTCAATAAGTTCAATGTTGATTTGAGATTATTATTATTATTGTTATTATAAGATACTATTTCCACTACATTGTTGACATTTCAATAAAACGTGGAATAGTACCTACGTACAAATGGGCAAATAGACTATAATCGTAAAAGCAGAAGCAATGTCGCCCATTTTTATTGGCGGCTCTCTGACGCTTTGGCTCGTAAATCAACTTCCGAGGGTAATTTCCACGTTTCATCTTCCAAAAAATAAATAACTTTCATCATACCCTTTTCTCTCTTTTTTTTTGCGTCGTAATAAGTCTGAAAGGGAACGATATCGATAGGAAAAGTTATGGCTCAATGAAATGTGTCTTCCATAAATACAACAGTTTTCTTTTTAGAGTGTTACGAAGGATCTTAGAAGAGACGAGTTTTGAGAAAATATTGAATAGGAGAAAACGTTGTAGGTATCCATGTTTCATGCTTACGGTCGGTTGAATGGAAATTTCGGATTTTTAATGTGGTATCAAGGCGTTTTCATCACGTGATTTAAATTTTTTATTTTTATTTATTTGTCTCAATAAAATCTTGCAAAAAATTGTTCACTCTCGGTTGTCATGTATGTGCGTATACTTCAGTACTGCTGGTAGTAAGGAATAGAGAATGACAGATGGAATGAATATGGATCTGAGTGGGTGCGGTATAAACGTAGAAGGAAACTGTTATTTATCACTTTCATAGTTTCAAGTACCTACATAATATATGATTTTATTGACGAAAATGGGGATGTGACTAGCTAAACCCTAAATATTTCACAGACGATCGATGAAATGAAACAGAACAAGAAATTGTATATTTTCATCTTAGCTAGAAAAAATAAATAGGGTGTTCCATTTTTAAAAATCCAAGTTATACTATCTTTATGAGCTAGTTACTACTATCATTATTGTTGTTTTGAATCAGACACTTGTGATTGCTTCGTTCAGCAGGTACCACATTGCGCAGGGGTATTTATTAATGGGTTAATAAAAATAGTAATAATTTAGGATAGTAAGGGTCAATTTACGTAGGGAAATTATCGGATAATGTTACATTATAAAATAAATGAGTATCTATATCATTTATATAAATAAAGTTTTAGAATGTTTGGCGGTAGTCTTAAACCTATTAGCAAGTGCCTCCTCGAAGTCTTATTTCCTTCAAACCTGATTCTCTGATTCGGTATATGTTTTGCTTATATAGCACTGATAAGAGCTAGCAAGCTCGAAACGGGTATGCAGCTAACGTAGCATCTAGTGGATGAGAAATCGGTTTCTCTTCATTACAGGCCACAACTACACGTAGGTATTGATGTGAATGAAGTAGTGAGAAGTAACAAGGAACCTTGCTCATGGTACGTATTTTTGGGTTATCGCTAGAACGAGTCCGGTTTGCGCAGATTTGAGAAAAAAAAACCATCAGCGCAAATTCTTGACAGTTCCGAAGTAGTTCTAGCGACAACCCGAAAATATCAAGTATGAAATTAGCAGTTAGTGGAAATATTTTTGGTTTATATTTCGCCACTTAGTCAAGAAGATGCAACAACATATTTTAAGTTTGTTTTTTCAAAATTCAAATTTTATTAAACCCAGAAGGGTGGTTTCTTGGTTTTGCTTTGTAAAGTTTCGAGACGCTATACCTAATAGATTTATTCTTATCTTGTTGTAGTCTCCGTCAAACCTGTTTCTCTGATTTGGTATGCTTTTGCTTATGTTGCACTGATGAGAGCTAACAAGCTCGAAATCAGTATGTAGCCAGCGTGGCATCCATTGATTGAGAATTCAGTTTTTCTTCATTGTCTTATGGAGCACAACTACATGTATTGTGTAATCTGGCTGTGACCAGAATCAATACAAAATCCTGGTAGGAGTTATTAGCAGTTGCTTCTACAAATTAACACTTCTGTTTCTTATAGAAACTTTTGGGTTTTAGTAAGAGTATTTTATAGTTTTTTTTTTTCAAGTTATACCCAGTGGCGTAGCTAGGGTCGGCGACCGCCAACGGCCTCGCGCCCTAAGGAGCCTCGCGCCCTAAAGAGCCTCGCGCCCTAAGGAGCCTCGCGCCCTAAGGAGCCTCGCGCCCTAAGGAGCCTCGCGCCCTAAGGAGCCTCGCGCCCTAAGGAGCCTCGCGCCCTAAGGAGCCTCGCGCCCTAAGGAGCCTCGCGCCCTAAGGAGCCTCGCGCCCTAAGGAGCCTCGCGCCCTAAGGAGCCTCGCGCCCTAAGGAGCCTCGCGCCCTAAGGAGCCTCGCGCCCTAAGGAGCCTCGCGCCCTAAGGAGCCTCGCGCCCTAAGGAGCCTCGCGCCCTAAGGAGCCTCGCGCCCTAAGGAGCCTCGCGCCCTAAGGAGCCTCGCGCCCTAAGGAGCCTCGCGCCCTAAGGAGCCTCGCAAAAAATAGGTTACCGAACTTAAAAATTGACACTTTTCGGTTTCCCAAATAGATTGTGAAATAGGGGCTGTTTAGTGGAGTCATTTTTTTTTTTCTGGCATTTTGAGGGCTGAATGTGGCTACTAAGCTGATGAGAATATAGGTGATTTTAATGCCTGCCTCCCGTTCGAAAAGTTGCAGAAGAAAAAAATTGATTTACATGAAGAATTTTTTTTAATGATCTCTAATTTTCTAACTTTTAGATAAAAGATTTTCATTGATAAATAATTCACCCATGAAAAATATTAGATGCTTTTCAATAGCTGAAAAAATGGGGATGGGTGTCAATTTCCAAGAGAAAAGAAAAGAACCTTCCGCGTTTACTTTTTGTCTGGCAATCGAGAGTATGAAAAGTTTTGTTGTGAAAATAACGCCGAAAAATCGCCAGACGGTAATCACAGTTCGAAATCGAGTTTTCCGGCGAAACATTCTATGGACATTTCGAACAGGAGGCAGGCATTAAATCCACTTATATTCTCATCAGCTAACTAGTCACATTCATCCCTCAAAATGCCAGACAAAAAAAAATGACTCCACTAAACAGGCCCTATCTCAGGGTCTAAAAATAAAACGTAGAGAACAAATAATAAACTTAACCCTATACGAAACTTCTAAATATCATAGAATTCAGTTAGGGACGGTTTCTCAATAGCGAGTCATCCCCGGGTTAAGCATAACTCCAGGGTAAACATAGCAACTGGACACGCTTACCCTGGACACAGATCACCTGAATACAGATGCGTGAGTAAGTATCCTTGCCGTCGTCGATTCAAAGCTGCGAACCCACGGCTCCGCAAGGAGGCCAGCCTTAAATCAAATGGGTTTTTTTTTCGGTAGATTGTCGGTATTTCGATAAATGTTGTTGAATTCAATTAATTAGGACTTTTCCTAACTGGCAACCGACCGAGACATTAGACATTAAAATATGTTTACCAAACGTATAGTATTTCGCAGTATTCTACAGTCGTGAGCATTAAAAATGGGACACCCAATTTTTCCTATTGTAAAACGGGCTCATTAGCTACACTGTCGGCAATCACAGGGATTGTCATATTTGACAAAAAATCTGTTGTAGAGAAAAGACTGATTTACCCAAAATAGCGAAAAATGACAAGACCTGTCAGTCGGGTGTCCCACTTTTAATGCTCACGACTGTACCTGCCACTGTACATTCTACAGCATTTTGAAAGTCTGTCCAACATTTGATTTTGTGAGAAATCTATTTTTGGTTGGAAGGATTTGTTAGCGGAAAAATATTAATATTTCTGACGGCTACCCATCCCTGTCAGTGGCGTAACTTCAAATCCGGCCCCCCCCCCGCAAGGATTTTCCCGGGGCCCATTTTTTATACAGGGTGTCCCATAAGTCACGGTCCAAACTGAAAGGGGTGATAGAGGAGGTCATTGCCGACAAAAAAAACTTTATTTTCATATACAATTCTTCACGGTTTTCAAGATATTCTTATTTTAATGATTTTAACAAACATGGTTACATTGGTTAAAACCAACGAACCTATGATTGATTTTTTTTTCCAATTATAAGTAGGAATGTCTGTCTTCAAGCTTTTATAAGTAATGTGAGGTTTTTTCTTTCTGCCAAAGAACTTGAAGTGAGTTTTTTTTATCTTATTTTTGTTTGGGAGACACCCTGTACCTGTATATATATATATATTTTTTTAATTTTTCTTTATACAGGGTGTCCGTTTTAAGTGATACCACTATTGCTATCTCCGAAACGGTAAGAGGGACGAGGTCGGTTAAATTAGATAAAAGTGGCAATTTTTAGTATTCATTGAAGGTAAGTTCACAGGGTTGTCAAATCTTTGTACGTTTCCGAGATATAAGGGAAATGTAAAGAACATTTAAAACTTATTTAATGAATATCTCAAAATCTATCAACTTTAGAAAAAAGTGTTCAATGCAAAAGTTCCAAGATTCTTTCTTCTCTACAAAATGGCGTTTGTTATCTTTACACAGCTTCTAGTTGTGTTTACATTTTACCTCGAAGGCTTTATATCTCGGAAGCAAATGAAAAATTGGCAACCCTGTGAACTTAACTCCAAGGGATATTAAAATCTGCCATTTTTATTCAATTTATCCGACC